TTTTTTTTTTTTTTTTTTTTTTTTTTTTATTTATTTCTTTCATTTTTTCTTATTTTTTTATTTTGTTGTTGTTGCTTTCATATGGCATAAAATAGGACCGTAAGTTTTCAGATCGTAAAAAAGAAGGGAAGAAGATAACAGCGAGATTAGTTAATTTTTCGTTTTCAAACTTGCTGGCACCATTGAAAATTTAGTACAAAGTGTACCCTAATTCTTACGTTTAAAATGCGTTCGCTAAAATCTGACAAATAGTACATTATCGTTATAATATTATTATTATTATTATTATTATTATTATCTCATTATTACTAGTATATTATTATCACTTCGATTAGAATTTATTATTTTGGCAACGCACGGATTATGCGGAATTTGACAATTTTTTTTTTTTTTTTAATCTTCATTTTCTTTTTTTTTTTATGTTTCATCTCGTCTCGTTATTTCAATTTTTTCTTTTTTTTTACATCGTTGCGTTTTATACGCGCATCATCATCGTTATTTATTTATTTATTATTATTATTATTATTATTATTATTATTATTAACTGACAATAGTTAATCCGCAAATAGTTTACAATTAATTCGCATGTATTTCTTCTTCCATTTTTGGCTGGCACATTATTACATTTCAACGATTGTTTGTTTAAGTATATATCCCGTTTTTCGAACTTTACAAAAATTTTTTTATTATTTTTTTATTGTTATGTATATATTTTACGAAAGTAAGAAAATACGAAAACGACACTAAGGAATTATTATTGATCCATAAACATAATCGTATTATTTTTTTTTTTTTTAAATTACAAGGATTGCTTATTTTCTTGTTTTTGTTTTTTTTCTTTTCTTCTTATGTTTCTTTGTATAATGGGCGAGGAGAGGAGCCGGGATTTATCACGAGCGATGGCGGTGGTTGGTTGTTCGAGGAGAAGTGGGGGGAAGTTAAGTTTACATTAACTATCAATATTTTTTTAGTAAGAGGTAATAATCGTACAGATGAATTGAGTTTTGTTCTTTTTTTTTCCTTTTTTTTTCTTTTTCTTTTCGTTTTTTTTTGTTTGTTGTTGTTGTTGCAATATTGTATATACGTGTGTAAATTAATTTCTTTTTTTTTTTTTAGCTGTTTATTTATGAAAAAAGGTGAGCTTAATGTGTGTTTGTTATTATTCTTTTTTTTTTGTTCACTTCATGATCTTCATTATAAAGATGGATGATGGTACATCAGTGACAACAGTGTTTGTTTGTTTGTTTGTTTGCATGCATATGTGGCTTTAACCCTTTGACTGCTACAGACGCATATATGCGTCTGTCGGAAGCTATCGGTATGGACTAAGGACGCATATATGCACTTTCTGTAAGTGTTCGGCATGGACTAAGGACGCATATATGCATTTGTCAATTTTTCGAGCACC